GGTAACGGCACGTCCTCCTGCCCCTACCCCTCTGAGCAGCCCTGTCAGTCCTGTCGCTGCCCTTTTGCGAGCCTCTGGGCTGGGCTGAGTGTAAAGAACCCGGTTTGGGCCGAAATCGGCTACAGCTTAAAGTTGTTTCAGTAGGTAAGGGGTTCCCTGGGCTGAGGAGCCTCTCGGTAGTCGTTGTTAACAGCCAGTACCGGTGAGTGACTTCTGAAAAGCTTTCTCAAATGTACTGCTGTCAGAAGTTTAAGGGAAGGCACGATGTATAAATTGTGTCATTATTTTTCCCTTAGTATAGGCAGACCTCTTTTGCTTGCCCTGATGAAAAGGTTAGCCACTTCAAAAGTGTCAGAAATCTGTGGTTTGATGCAGTATGGGCAGATGATAAGGAGGATAGTACAGGAATATTCCTTTTTGGTTTACCCCCAGTCGTTTCACCAGCGTGTAACCTGCTTGTGAAAGTTTTAGTACAGTTTATACCCCTTACCCACTGTATTCGCAAGCTAGAATCTTATAGTATTGTTCTACTCAGTTCTAGAGATTAATTTCCTTAATGAGAAGGATTTGAGTGTCTGGCTGCTCAACAAGGCAAAACTTAAGAGCCTTGTAAATGTTTCTTAAATATTCGTTCTTGGGATTTGTTTTAAAACTTTTTTTTTCCTTTGTTGTGGAAAGTCAGGCCCTTCATACACGCAGCAATCAGATATACTGGCTGTGGTGATTACTTAATCTGACACTCGGATGGAAACATTTTCCGCTGATCAGCAGGCTGCTAGTGAGAAGTTCAGAGACTTTCCTGGATGTGGGCCTTTTTGTGGGGAGAAAAGCACCTGGTGCGGTGCCTGGCAGACTCGTAGGGTAACTTGGGGGTTACTAGGAGCAGGCAAGCTGCAGTTAACTGTGCTAATGATGTGAACAATCTCCTTTGTTTTTAAATTATAGTTCCACAGAGGGTTTCTGACACACTATAGTCAATTTTGCTCCCAGAGAGAGGTCTACAATGAGAAGACTACTCCACTTTGCTTAAAACTTGTTGTACCGCTACCAATGTGGGTTTAAAGTAATTTCCTTTTTGGTTATGTTACTGTTCCCTCACTCTTTTGGCAAGATGGGCTTCATTTTCATGGAACCGTCACTAATGCAACTTTATTTTTGAGCATTTAATTTTATGCTTCTGGGTAGTGCATGTATTCATGATGGTCTCACATTCTCTGGACTCTCCTTCCTGTGTGTCCAGGGTGGATTTTTTCCAATCTTTAACTGCCACAGGCATATAATCCTTTCATATTTTCGAATTTCCATTTTTTATTACCACATTACTAAATTGAAAACTGTTGTCTGGGCTTTGTGCTAGTGATGTTGGATTTCTAATTAAAATGCCCTCAGAAAGGACTGGGTCAGTAAGCAGTTTGGGATCCAAGTCATTTGACTGCCAGAGTTGTAGTGCATAAGTGAAGAGTGTCTGCTATTTTAGTGACTTTGAAAATAAAAGGTTAGACACCATATTTTCAAAAGATACATTTGGAGGTAGATTTGGTCACCTGCATTTCATTTGTTTGCTCTTAGTCCTTAATTTGCACACTATTGGTACTATCAAAGAGCCACGTTAGAAATCCTGCTGTGAATTCTGTTTCTTCTACAACAGTATATGAAAAATGCAAATCTGTGTTGCTGCAGCAGGTTGTTCCGGCCACTGGCTCTTACAACGTGAAGCCGTCTGCTGAAAACCCGCTCTCGGTATGAGGTGTGCAGGTGCTCTAGGTCCTCGTGAAAAACAGCTAAATTTCAGTGCATCGCTGGGGCTTGTAGCTATGGCTGCAGCATTTGCTCACACACAAGATAATTGTTAAGAACTGTAGAAGCTAGAAATGTGCCAAACTGGTAGATAGCATTGCTGTGAAAATGGGATTTTCCTTCTACCATGTACAAAACCAGAGCATTTTTTTAAAGCAGGCTGCTCAGTGGTTTCTGCAGCAGGACTTTTGTGACTGTAGCACCCTCTTACTGCTCTGTGTCTGTCTCCCACCTGCTGGCCTTTGGTTGAGATGCTGAAGGGACACTTGTTTGGTTTCCCAGAATTGGCAGTGTCTTTACTGCCTGATGGAATGAGCCCTAAAGAAGAGAAAGACAAAGTTTTAAGTGTCTCAAAAGGGCACAGATGAGACAAACAAGTTTATGGAACTTCAGTCTTTCCATTGTCTTGCAAATTTTGATCCTCCCGGGCTACCTGAGGGAGGTTCACATTGGGCTTCTGGTACTTTGGGGAAGCAAGGGTCAGGCAGAGGAGCTGTTTCACTCAAGGCCGTGCAGAGAATTAATCCCAGACTGTAAATACAATGTCAGCCTTTCTGGCTCACACACGTGTGCTTAATTGAACAGATTATGTGATTACACAGATACAGTCTGAACTACCTGGATGTTGAGGCGTTTTGCCCAGAAGGTTGTTCCTTGCTGGATGATCTTCCATGGAGATTAGTGGAAGCGCCACTTTCCCAAGTCTGTTGAAGCATTTGGGACAAAATCTGGAGGAAATGGAAAACAATCTTCCTTTGGCCTCCAGGAGGGAAGTGGGATGGATGGATGAAGCAGTTTTCACTCTAATTTCTGTGACCAAGACTGGTGTGTTTGTCATTCCTTGCACGGTTTGTCCAAACTCCTTTTGATTTATTTTCCTCTTTCTATCCCTCAGTTGTTCCTTCCGTTTACACCATTTACATGGGAAAAGATAAGTACGAAAGTAAGTACATTAATGTAATGATGCCTAACAGCTTAGGTCTAGATTTGTGGGGATTTTGAAAGGATGTCTTTGTATGTGTTAATTTGATATATTGTTTGGAAACTTGTTCACTCTTTCAAGTTATTTTGACTTATCCCTCTGAAATCCACTGTTACTTTTTGTTAGGATAAATAAATTTTGGAAACCTTTTAGGCAGAGTAAGTGCCTTCAAATACAAGTGAAAACTAAATTAACTGGGAAAAAAATTGTCTAGAAAAAAATACAGATTTTCAGGTTGTGTCTGATCATTTTTTGCAAACCAACCTTCTGTTCCCCTGCTCAGTCTGTATTTTCCCCCTCTCCACTGAGCATTCGTACTCCGTAGGTTTCCTGTGCCCATCCTTTCCCCCAAGGTGAAGGTTACGGTTCTGCTGCGCCTCCTGTTTCCACGTCAGTAGTTGATGTGAAACCGGGGGTCGTGCTCCAAGGGAAAAGTGTTAGCATGGTTATGTTAAAGACTTTCCCTGAAAGTCTCCCCCCATTAGACTGATCCTTGAAGAAACATATTTTCACATAAAAATTTGAAAATGACGCGATGGAGGTGTTCCTGGCATACCTGTTTCTGCCATGCCCACGAGCAGGCAGGT